CCGCGGCTCCCGACCCGAGCCGGCCCCAGCCCGACCTGGACTCGAAACTCTTTTCTGCTCACTCGTTGTCGGTGTCGCTTGTTTGGCAGTGCTTTCCAGTAGTGGCTTTCCGATTTTGTCACTTGCTCAGTTACTTCCTTTCCTCTAAATGTTACAAGTTTATTTTTAAGAAATAAGCCAGTTTGGCTATTTCTTTCGAACCCTCCCTTTTTGGGGCGGGAGGTGGGTAATGCTTCCCTTTACATTTAAGCTACTTTGAGAACTCTGGTGAAGGAAGTAGAACCAAGAGGAGGAAAGAGAGGACTCGGTCTGTTCCAGAAAGGGGCATCAGCCTGCAAATGCTCCTTTCTGCGGGAGAGCGTCGCCCCCGCCGCCGCATGGACTGCCACGCGGTCCCTCGCTCTCCAGCTCTGCGCCCTGCGCGCCGTGCCCTGCTGCTGGCCTGGTGCCCGGGTGTGTTTGCTGCCCACTGAAGGCTCGGGTGGCCAGAGCTGCTCTGGCTCAGGACTAGTCCAGCCGCACTGGGCTCTGCTTTAGGTGCTCAGCTGCGGAGGAACCTGCCGGATCTGGCCTAGCCATCGAGGGCAGGAGTGCAGCCAGGATGAAGAGACCTCATGGCGTCTTTGTTCATTTCAGGTGCCTTCTCCAAAAGGGCCTAGAGGGAAGGGGAAATGGCCCGGAGGTTGCCGCCAGCCCAGGTGCAGGTGAGCCAAGGTGCTTCTTTCTTGAGCTGCCTCCAGGGTTCAGAGGCCATGTGTTTGTTTCACCCACTGTTGAGGTTCTCCGGGCAGTGGAGCCCACGGGGCCACCAGAGGGCCTGGAAGGTGAGGGACTCTCCAAGGAAGGGCTTCTCTGGCCTTGGGGAGTGTCAGTGTGAACCCTGACTTAACACTTAAGCACTGGGTGATGGGGAGTTGAGGAGGCACCAAGCCCAGGCCACTGCTGTGCTGGAGCTTTGTGAGGGATCTGGGTGTGTTTTTGCCCTGTGGAGGACAGACGGGAGGAGGTGACTTCTTAACACTAAGGATTCACAGAGGAGAGGCACAGAGAGGCGGTGCAGCCAGTGTGGAGTGCACCAGGGCCCTGGTGTTTTCTGTTAAGAGGCAGGTGGAAGGCGAAGCCTGGCCAGGAGGCATAGTCAGAGGAACCCTAGCAGCCAGCAGGGCCAGGCTCCTGGAGATGGTGAAGAAGGCCCCCAGTAGAGACTGCAGCGCAGGTGGTGGTTTGAGGCAGACTAGGGGGGAAGGGGAAGAGAGTGAGATAGTGAGCCCATGCACAAGTCCGGCAGGATGCAGTTACCTAGATAATATTTTGTTTCTGTTGAAGTACAGAACCGGTTTTTTTTTTTTTTCTTTTTTTTTTTATTTATTTAACTTGATTCATTTATTTCAGTTTGACCAGAGAGGGACAGAATGAGAGCAAGCAAGAGAGGGGAAGAGTGAGAAAGTAAGCTGCCAGGTCCAGGTCCAAACCGTGGTCGGCCATGTGGGAGTCCAGCGCCCTTAACCACCATGCCACCTGCCGGCCCCCAGAACCATGTTTTTTAAACCTGAAAATACATACAGCAAAAGTTAACAAAACTGTTTCTGGTGGTAGAGTGCTAGATTAACATTTCTTGTTTTCTTGCTTATTGATTTTTCTAATTTGCCTTTTAAAAAATGATTTTTAATGGGACCAGCAGTTGGTGTAATTGGCTATGTCGCTGGACTGCCATTTGAGTCCCAGACCTGGTGGCATAAACTCATGCCGGGTGTGTGTGCCTGCCCAAGAGCTCGAGAGGAAAAGGGAGGAGAAGGGATTATGGCGCGGCCATCCCCCCTGGGGGGGGATTTCTCGCTTTCTGTCTCTCTGTCTCTATCTTTCTGGTGAGTGTACATGCCCTATAGCAGAAACCTCTCAAATAAATAAATAAATAAATAAATAATAAAAAAGATTCTTAGTAAGGAAAGAAAGGTACCACTGATTCCGAGTGGTGCCTGTGGCCCAGTCCAGCAGGGCATGAGAAGAACAAGGTTCCTGGTGACGAGGGAGACTCTCACCCAGCCTCTCCCTGAAAGACTGAGCAGCCTGCCCCCCAGGCCCTCCTGACCCAGTTTACCGGGGGCATCCTCAGAGCCCCCCTACTGCGGAGGCAGTGTCCTCTGCCCTGCACACACAGTGGCCTGAGGTGATGACAGAACTGGGGCAGTGACCTCCCTCCCAGGCTAGCGGGTGCCCTCCCGTCCACTCCCCACCAGGCACGTGTGTGAGGCCTCCTGACAGTCCGCTGACAGTTGGTCTGGGCGCTCGACCCTTCCCAGTCTGAAGTCCTGTGTGCCTCTCGTCCTGATGTCCCCTGCTGTAAGCGCTGCTCGTTTGTGGGCTCTCTGAGGGCCCAGTGCTTCACTCGCAGAAGGTACATGGTGAGGATCTGTGTAGTAACTGAGAGGTTGTCCAGAAATCCCTGAACCCCGAGTTGTGACAGCGTTGCTTCTCAGTCACCCCACTGTGAGATGGTCCTGGGTAGGCAGAAGTGGTTTGCCGTTCCAGGGATCAGTGACATTCCGGGATGTGGCTGTGCTCTTCAGCCAGGACGAGTGGCTGCACCTGGACACGGCCCAGAGGACCTTGTACCGGGAGGTGATGCTGGAGAACTACAGCAACCTGGTCTCGCTGGGTGAGGGGCCGTCTCGGGGTCAGAGTCTGTCGTGGGAGCATGTGTCTCCCTCCAGGGAGGACTGCGGAGGGCTTGGCCAGGTTCAGCCTTCACCTGGGCTCACAGAGAGTGGCTGCTGCTCCCCTTGGCTGTATGGAGAGGTCTCGGCGTGCTAGAGTTGGCAGAAAGCATCCTTTCTGTTCTCCTGTCCTCCAAAGTCTGTCCCCCAGGGCCCCACTGGGTGCTTAAGCTCAGAGGCACACACAGCCAGAGCCTCGACTTTCATCCTGAGACCTCCCCCAGCACCCTCCCAAGGCCCAGCTTGAACCCCCCTCTGAAGAGATCTCCATCCTCACTGGCCCTCTGCCCTGGGCACTCGGGCTGAGTCGGTATCCAGGGTGGCCACTCATGTCTTTTCTTGTCCGTGAACAGGGATTCTCTTTTCCAAACCTAAGGTCATCTCCCAGTTGGAGCAGGGGCAGGACCCCTGGAAGGTGGAACATGGAGCTCCTCAAGGCACGTGTCCAGGTGAGTGCAGAGCGTGAGGGGCACGGGCACCGTGGGTTCCAGCTGCCTGGGCGCGCCCGTCGTCTCCTCGACGTGCCAGGCCGGGTGGGGGCGCCAGGGAGGGCTGGCCTCTCCCCTCTTGGATTACGGGCCCCACTGGGCTCAGGGGAGTTGGATTCTCTGTGTGGGCTGTACTTTGTTAAATGTCTCATGATTTGCATACTGTGTAGTCTGATATGATTCTGTATCTTCTGCCTTTTTCCTCATTTTCACTGGATTCTTTTCTTGTTTTCCTCTAGTGGTTCAAACATGCGTTTGTGATGTGATAGTCCCTCGTTGCATGCTGGGCTTTCACTTTGATGACTCTTGGCTGTAACTCACTGTACGTGGTTCAGCACACACAGCATGTGTGTGAGGGGCCTTCACAGACCTTATGGGAAATGCATATTATGAAAAACTATGTTTGGATTTCAAATTTTTTTGCATCAAAGTAAACTCATACTTTAGCCCCATTTTTCTGTGAGTTTTTTTTTTTTTTTTTTTGAGAGAGATTTTTGCTATAGGGCACATTCCCATGCTGGGACACAGAGACAGAAAATGAGAAATCACTCCCAGGGGGATGGCCACACCACAGTCCCTTTTCTGTTCTTCTCTGGGGATTTTAGGCATGCACGCACACCTGTCTGGTGTGTTTCAAGTCGCTGGGCCTGGGACTTGAACCACAGTGGGCCATGTGGGATTCTAGCTCCTTAACTATTATGCCACCTGCTGGCTCCTCCGCGAGCTTTTAGAAACACATACATGTGTAAGAGGGAAACCAGTACAGCAGAGATGGACTTCAGCAGCTCAGTACCCTCCTGCCGTTCTTCTCACTCTCCATGAAAATTCGCGGTGACGTGGGCCAGAGCCTGACTCTTCCGTCCCGCCTGTCTCCACACCTTGTGGGTGCTGCACCCCGAGCTCCCACTTCGGTTCTGCCCTGGACTTGGTCGTCATTCTGGCACTGGGCGGGGCTGTCTGGAGCTTGGCTGCTGTTCCAGCCTTGGTGTCTGTCTGGCAGGAGGTGGCCAGCCTCCCTGTCCAGCCCTGTGTTTTCATCCCTGCAGTCTGGCTTCAGTTTTTCCCATGACTTGACTTGAGTTACTGTTTTCAGAAGGGGGCATACATGCAGCATCTGTGAATGTCTAAAGTAAGTTCGTCCTTCTCTCCTCTGGGAATTGCTTCAGGGTCTAGAATCCTGGCAGTAGTGTTTTCTTGTTCTCTCCTCCATCAGGAACTGCCCCACTGCCTTTGGACATTGAGCGTTGGTGGTAAGAAGTCCTCCCTGTCTGGCTCCGTATTCTGTCTCCATTAGAGACAGCCTTTCTTTCCTTTTGTGGATCTGGCCTGAGGGCTTATAGGCTCTCCTTTTCTCCTTTGGAATTCCGAATTTACTTGGCTGTGTTAAGGAGTGTATTTTGTCTTTAGTATTGTTATTTGGCACTCACTGGCACTCACTGGTCCCTTTGCTTTGAAGAGTCAAGTCCTTTTTTCTCACTTCAGGGAGCTTTTGTTTCTATTAGTTACATATATTCTGCCACATTCTGCCAGCATTTTGAAGATACGAACTGTTAGAATAATGATAAAATGAACAGAAATTCCACCAGAAACCTACAGAATAAATACAAATGGAGCAAGGCCCAGAATGATAGCTACTGAGTTCAAATTTGGCTCTGAGCTTTCTGGTTGGCAAAGAAATCATTAGTATCAGATTGTCTGTGTTTGGCAAACTTTTTTTTTTTTTAATTACATAATTTTTAAGAATGATCTATTGGAACCAGCAGTTAGCATAATGGCGATGTCGCTGGACTCCCACTTAGGCGACTGTGGTTCGAGTCCCGGGCCTGGGGGCTTAAACTCACGCCGGGTGCATGTGCACGTGTGCCCAAGATCCCGAGAGGAGAATGGAGGAGAGGGGATTGCGGCGTGGCCATCCCCCCCGGGGAGTGATTTCCTGCTTTCTGTCTCTCTGTCTCTCTCTGTCTGTCTGGTGAGCGCACATGCCCTATAGCAAAAACCTCTTCAAAAAAATGATCTATTGAATTTATCATTGTTATTGTTATTTTAAAATTTATTACAAGGTATGCTTGTTCAACAGAGAGACAGAGGGAAAGTGAGAAAGCAAGCCACAGGTCCAGGACTTGAACTATGGTCAGCCACGTGAGAGTCCAGTGCCCTTAACCACCAAACCACCTGCTGTGTCGCTTCACGAACGACCCGGAGACGGTCTTCTCTACAGCACTTTATTTACCCCAGGCTCTGTACAGTCTTCTTCCTCCTCTCTTCCCTGCCCCAGGGCCTTATAAAGGGCCCCTGACCAATTGGCACGTTGGTCACGAGCAGGGAAGCCAGTCCTCGAAAGAGGATTGGTTGCATGCGGTGTTCCCGTGCTCTCCACCTCCCCCCTGCCCTACTTCCTTAAAGTTGTTTACTGCTTTGAGCGCTCAGCGGGCTTCCGTTGAGCGCCATTTTGAAATAGGCGCTGAGGGCGATGGGCAGGGGCGCTCCACACTGCTGGTCCCTTTCATAATTATTTTTGATGGATGCTAGAGAGGGGCAGAAAGAAGAGAATCACCAAAACTTTTACCAACTGTGATCAGCCACTGTTTTATTTAATATTTACTTGTTGAGACTGTATTTGTTTGAGGTGTTTGTCAGGAGAGAGGTTGATTATGTGTCTTGGTCTTGAACCAGTTTTCAAGTTGAGTGTCTTTTCAGTTTTTAGCCCTCGTAAATAGAGGCATACTTTGCTGAAAGGACGTTATTGTATTGTAAGACATATTTTATCATCCGTCTTTTGTTTCCAGCTTTTCCCCATTATTATTACTATTTTTGCTGAGGTGGCTTTGGGAATACAAAGGTATGACAAAGAGAAAAGATCCAGAGTAGATAGTTGCGGTACCAAGGCGTGAGCATTGTGATTGCAGAGGTGAGGAACGAGAATTCAGAATCCACAAACAATTTTTGAAAAACGACTTGACTTACAGTCAGTGAAGTTCAAGCTAAAGCAGTGAGATGCCGGCTCCCTGTGTCACGTCACCGAGGGTTAAGGAATGTGCGTCAGTGTTTTGCTACTGCTCTAAGTGGTAAGCAGCACCTTCAGTGGGATTTTGATTGGTTCAGTCTTGATTCAGTCTTCTCTGGGATAGCCTGGCTTTAATAAGTCATTCCAAGTTTAGAAATTCATCTTAAAATAGGGCCCGGCAGGTGCCATGGTGGTTAAGGGTGCTGGACTCCCATATGGCCAACTGCGGTTCAAGTCCTGGTCTTGGTTTGCTTTCTCACTTTCTGTCCTTCTCTGGTCAAATAGAAAGAAAGAAGGAAAGAAAGATGGTGGCGTGGAGAGGAAGAGATAGAGAGAGAGAGAAAGTTCAATATATATTTTTAAAATTAATCTTAAAATAATTCCATAGTTGTGCTGAGTTGCAAAGATACTGTAAAAGAAAGTTTATAACACAGACTACTGCTGCAAAAGAAAATCAAATGGCTCTGGAAGGGAGATCTTGAATGGCGATATGTTCATTGATCAGACATGTTATGCAACCATTAAAATAATGATGAAAGAAGCCCTTCCTTCTGAGAGAGAGTGCGCTTTCTGACAGGGTCTCACCACCTGGTGATCCTTTCTGACCCAGCCTTGCAGTCACCCAGGGTCCTAAGCATGTGTCACCTGGGTAAGTTGGGCTGACAGCTGATACCAGGCCCCTCATGTGACCCAAGCACTACACAGTGCCACCCTCCCACTTGCCACAGCACCTGAGCCTAGAAGCCCATGGTTTTTAAGTGAAGTGGGAGTTAGGGAAACTTAGTGTTAAAAGGTTTTTGTTTTTTAAGTAAGAGTGATTTTTCATATACATAAAATTCTAGTAATTTAAATGTCACATATAACAATGGTTATATTTGCATGATTTGTTTATGAGTAAACTGTATTTCAAATGATTACACATCTTTTTTATTTAGGAAAATAAAAGCTCTTTTATAAAATATAGTCATTTCTTTTTTTTTTTTTTTGAGAGATTTTTGCTATAGGGTACGTGCACTCACCAGAGAGACAGAGACAGAGAGACTGAAGCAAGAAATCAACCCCCAAGGAGGATGGCCATGCCGCAATCCCTTCTCCATTCTCTTCTCAGGATTTTGGGTATGCACGCACACACATGTGGTGTGAGTTTTAAGCTCCCGAGTATGGGACTCAAACCAGAGTTGACCACATGGAAGTCTAGCAATGTAACCATCACACCATCGACTGGTTGCAAAATAAAATAATTTCTTTTGAATCAGTGAATCCATTACCTGTATTGTAACTTAAGTAATCAAAAAGGTTGGCCAAAAGTTACTCCCGGGAAGATACTCTTCTTCCCATAATCCCCCATGTCATGGCATGGCATCCATCTCCTTTTTGTTGCCACAAGCTGGGAGTCACCCTGAGTCCTTTCTTTTACTTCCTCTGTACACTCTGTTCCTAGGTGAAGCCACCTTCCAGCTCTGCAGCCAAAATAATCCCAAACATGCTCACCTCTCCATCTCCACCACTGCATACTGATGCTAGCCCATTGTTTCCGTTCTGGAAGATTGAGAAGCCTCCTCAGCAGATGCCCTGTGCTTGCTCTAGTTCCCTTTCCTCCATTCTGGTTACAGTCCATTTGGCACAACAACTGAAGTGATCCTCTTTAATTCCAAATGCCATCCAATATTGGAAGACTGCACAATACGGTCCCTGTTCCACCTCTTTTTCTGATCTAATAACACCTTTCCCTTGTTCACTCTGCTTAAACCATGCTTGACTTCTTCAACTTCTTAATGACAGAGAAAGTGCTATTTTTTTTAGAATTTTCTTTTTTTTTTATTATCATCATAATCTTCTTTATATTACATTGGATTACATATAAGTTTACATTGACTTCCATTGCTTTTTCAAAAGGGAATGCCATGCATGTCAGTCAATACAGAGACATCAATCTCCCCGCTTTATCATTTAATGTCTTTTCCATGCATTTCCCAATAATTATTATTATTATAATTTTTTAAAACAGTCAATCACTATTTCTCATTTTGCTTGTTAAAAGACTTCACCCATCATGAAATACTTCCCAGACCAGTCCAGTTGAGAATACTATACACGTCATCATCAACAGATAATAAACCATATCTGTTTCTCACTAACATCCTGCCTCTCTATTGTTCACTTGCTATCTTTCTCTATCCTCTTCTCTTTTTTTTTATAGTTTATTTTTTATTATAATTTTTTTCCCCATCACAACACACAAATGAATTTTCCATCCAAAATACACTGTGCATTGGCTCAATCAAGCACGTCACCATATATGTTCTCAACAAATAATTTCCCAATTCTTGTGTCCTGCATACCTTGCCTTTTGTTTTACCATCCTAGATTCCCCATCCCCCTCCCTCTGTTATGACCCATCCTCCTCCCACATTGTCCCTGTCATCCCCGATTGCCCTCCGTGCCTCACCCCTCCCCAAATGATCTGTCAGTGATCTTAATTAGTCTAAGTCTCTCCAATAGTTATCACAGCTGACACATGCCTCTACATGAACTCAAGTCTGACTTTAGGCCTAAACCCCATTGGGTAAAAAGAGCATACTATAAAGTAGAACCCAACTGGGCCCATACCGCTCACTGCAGCCATCAAATATCCAATTTTTTTTTTACATATATTTTTTTTTCCTCTTCCTCTTTTTTTTTTAATTTTTTTTCCTATGTTTGTCCCTCTGCCCTGTCTCACTCTCCCATTACAATATCCCTGCTATATACAGTTGTCTTCCAGAAGAGTTACTGAAAAAGTGATACATACAAGTAAAGGGAGAGAGGCCACGAGTTCCAACCATCAGCTCATAAAGTTTTTGGCAATAGGGAGCATAAACTCCACTCAGGGTTGGATTAAGGGAGGGTCTCCTGCAGATCCGCAAGTGTAGGTGAGTCTCCAGGGAATGCAGTTTCAGGAAAGCAGTTCTGGTACGCAGGGATGATTATCAGCTGATGCGGCACAGCAGTCATCTTGTAGTTACCAGGAATGGTGTTGTGGGGATCTGCAGTGTGAGTTGTCCTTGGGTATCTGGCTTCCTTAAGAATGGCAGAGTAGTTCTTGTTTTCCCCTGAGGTAATGCAGGGCTGGTAACTATCATCTTCTCAAGTTGCAAGTTCTTCAACCTTGTTTTTGGCCTCCGGGACATCCAGCGCCGGAGAGGCCAGGGAGGCCGGCCGGCTGGTGCACAGCTGCGCAGGGGCCCCCCTGGCCCCAGGGCACCCGGCGGGGGGCTGTCCGTCCGGGGCGCGGCTGCGCAGGGGCGGGAGCCCCCCAAGAAAGTGCTTTTAATGGGGTCTTGCCATGCCACAACCCCCAGTCTTCAGTTTGCTAGCTTCTCAGCATGTTTTCAGGCTGTCCAGGGGATCTGAGCCTACAGTCGGCCACATGGCTTCTGGCCTTGCAGGGCCCTTGCATGACCAGTGCTCTACAGCAGCTGGGCCCACACTGGTCCTCTGTATGTTTATTTCTGGACTGCAGAAAGCTTATTCCTGCCTCAGGATCTTTGAGTTAGCTGTTTCTCTTCGTGGAATCATGATATTTTTGCCTGGCACTTCTCCTTATTTAGATCTCATCTTTTAATTTCCTTTCCTCATCACTCATCTTGGAATATCAGCTTATTCACTCTTAATACACATCGCCTTGTTCTTACTTCTTTTCTTGCCGTTCTTGTCATTCCTCTGCACTCCTGCCCTGACTTGGTCACCTAGTTACAGTGGGTACCCTCTACTAGAATGTGCACCGTAAGGGAGGGGCCATCCCTGTCTAGCTTGTTCCCTTGAATTCCCACTTGACCTCTGCATGGTGTGTGGTGGGCACACAATACCTACTGCTCGAGTGAGTGATTGTTTGTTCACCCCAGTGTTGTTTAGAGCCCACTGAGTCCGGAACAGCACTGCTTGGGACTGTTCACAGAGCTCTTCAGGGGCAGCTGCCCTTTCACTTCTTACTTTTAGCACCTCTGCAACTTTCCCTTGGAATTTACCCGAGTGCTCTGGTGATTGACCTGAGAGAGAGCTGAGTAGGAATAGCCTGTGGCTCAGAGGTGCCCCCTTCCCTGATGGTCTGTGCTTTGGGACTGGGTCGATACTGGCTCCTCCTCCTACAGGAAAGCATTCCTCTGGGCTCCTCAGCTTGCCGTACAGAGGCCTCTTCGGAAGCCTCCCTTCCAGGCATGTCCAGGCATGTTGACTGTCCTGCTGCTCTCTCTCTTCCTCCTCTTTCCCCATCACCATCTAAGACTTTGTGGCTGTTATTTGTGAGTTGTCCTTATATACTTTAGTGTCATTTTTCTTTATTCCCCAAGTAAGCAAGACTTACATGCTTTTTTGAAATTTTAGGATGGGAGAGCTTGTTTGAAACCACAGTTTCTGAAGAAGAGAATCAAGAAGTCATGAAAAAGCTTGTTGTTGATGATCCTTTTGACTTCAAGTTGGGCCAAACCTACATAAATGAGGACAAGTTAGAGAAGCCACAGGACAAAAAGAACAAACTTTTTAGCAAAGTATTGGTTACCATTAAAAAAGCCTACATGAAGGAGAGGAGCTTTAAAGGTATTGACCTTGGGAAAAATCTTGGCCTAATATCTTCACTTATAAGGAAACCCAGAATTGTTTCCAGAGGACGGAAACCACGTTTACAGCAGTATTCAATTCTGTTTAAACAACTGGGAGTCAACACGGTACGTAAATGTTATAAGTGTAATATTTGTGGGAAAATCTTCCTCCACAGTTCTTCCCTGAGTAAGCATCAGAGAATCCATACTGGGGAGAAGCTCTATAAATGTAAGGAATGTAGGAAAGCTTTCAGCCAAAGCTCGTCTCTCACTCAGCACCTACGAGTTCACACTGGAGAGAAACCTTATATATGTAGTGAATGTGGAAAAGCCTTCAGTTTCACCACCTCTCTCATTGGACACCAGAGGATGCATACTGGGGAGAGACCTTATAAATGTAAGGAGTGTGGGAAAACGTTTAAAGGTAGTTCATCCCTTAATAATCACCAGCGGATTCACACTGGAGAAAAGCCCTATAAGTGTAACGAGTGTGGGAGAGCCTTTAGTCAGTGCTCCTCCCTCATTCAGCATCACAGAATCCACACTGGAGAGAAGCCCTATGAGTGTAGCCAGTGTGGGAAGGCCTTTACTTCCATATCACGGCTCAGCAGACACCATCGGATCCATACCGGAGAGAAACCCTTTCATTGTAATGAATGTGGAAAGGTATTTAGTTACCATTCAGCTCTCATCATACATCAGAGAATTCACACTGGTGAGAAACCATATGCATGTAAAGAATGTGGTAAAGCCTTCAGCCAAAGCTCAGCTCTTATACAGCATCAGAGAATTCACACTGGAGAGAAGCCCTATAAATGTAACGAGTGTGGGAAAGCCTTCTCCTGGATTTCACGGCTTAATATACATCACAGAATCCACACTGGAGAGAAACCATATCATTGTAAGGAGTGTGGGAAAGCCTTCAGTTCTCATTCAGCAGTAAATACTCATCGGAAAATCCATACTGGAGAGAAACCTTATAAATGCAATGATTGTGAAAAAGACTTCAACCAAATCTCTGCTCTAATTCAGCATCAGAGAATTCATACTGGAGAGAAACCATTTAACTGTAAAGTGTGTGGGAAAGCCTTCAGACAGAGTTCATCTCTTATGACGCACATGAGAATTCATACGGGAGAAAAGCCTTACAAATGTAAAGAATGCGGCAAAGCTTTTAGTCAGAGCTCATCGCTTACTAATCATCAGCGGACTCATAATTGAGAAAAACTGTACAAGTAAAATGCATGTGGTAAATCTGCCTAAAGTTTGTTCTGTCATCAAAGAATTCATCCTGGGGAGAAAGTGACAAAGACCAGTTTATTGTTGATTAAACTTTAGAAGGTAGACCTGATCAAACATCAGAGTCTGTATAATACAGAAACGTGGGAAGTATTTGGAAAGCTTCTGTAAATATTTAAAAATGTGTTCTTAAGTTATTATCAAGTATAAAAAGGATAATTTGTAAGATCGAAGGGTCTGTACTATTTGTATTTCCTTTTTAGTGATGTATGCTAGTAATGACGAGCTCTCATAAACGTCACTGGGAAGCCTGCTGATTCACATAAACGTACAGCCATGAAATTCAGACATCAGATAAATCTAAAAATCTATTTTTTGAAAATACATGTAAGTGTTATGCAAGGAAGTTGTCAAAGAATGTTTTGGAAGAGAAACGTACACAGATTACCTGTAACTACCTCATTGTCACTAGAATTTGTTTTTTAACAGTCTTAAAAGCAAATTCTCTACGTGGTGGTTGTTAACAGTTTTTAGTTGTTTCTTCAAATGGTAAGTCCTTCGCCTGAGAAGAAAATCACTGCAAATGATGCAGCTACACTATCCTTGACCTTTCTTTCTGTTGTGTGTTCTAAACTCTGAAGCAGATTGAAAGTCACTAAGCCACAGAGATGCATGGTATCTCATTTGTTTTTCTCATAAAGTGACTGTTTTTGCTGTATTGAGAAGTAAAGGTTATTCAGGCAACTGCAGCTTTTGCAATTTAACTTACTGGTGCGTGTTAGGGATTCTCAGTGGAGCTATGGAAGCACTGCTCATGGCCCCTAGACCGTGTCTGCTTCCTTGAACGCTGTGATTACCAGCCACCAGGAAGGTGGAAAATAGGGAACTTGTCCTCCCTGGAGAGAAGGTGAACTGGGTGACTTTCACCCTTAATGTTCTACTTCCACCTCCGTCAGGTAGAACTCCTTCCCCATGCTCTGAAGGCTACTGGCATAAATATTCGGCTCTCAGTCAGATGCTTTTTCTTCCAGAGAGTGAGCTTATCTCCTTCAACAAGTTAGCTAGTCCTTTTTAGCATTTCTGAAATGTGTAGTGGTGTTAGCAAGCCTGTAACAGTGATCTCACAAGTGAATTAAAGAGCTTTACAGAGGCGGACATCTAGTTTTGCTAAGTTTATCAGGATAGGCAAGCACTTAAGGCTGAAATACCCATTTCATAAAGCACAGTGATAGATTCTTTGTCAAAGAGAAAAGAAAAACCTCAGAAAAGGTCTTATTGGGAGTGGAGACAGCAAGGCAAAACCATTGAACTTGGCTTTTGTCTCTGGGATTAATCAGTCTCTTTTTTTCGTACTCATGAGGAACAAACTTTCAGGTCATCGAATGCTCCATCTGTAATGCCCCTGCTCCACAACCATTCTTTAAATTCTGTCTGATTACCTAAGGTGAGAACTTTCTAGGAAAATAGAATTCTTTCAAGTATTACTAGTCAAAATTTAAGTAATCAAAAAACTTAAATCTGGGTTAAAGACATAATACACATTTCACAAAAGAGGAAACACAAGTGACCAATTTGGGGGGAAAAGATGCTCGCATCCATTAATAATCAGGAAAATGTAAATTAAATGCATTAAAATACAATTACGTAACCACTAGATTGTCAGAAACTGACAAGTCTAACAAACCAAGCATTGTCAAGAATGGAGAGCAATGGAGGATCTCACACCTCCACGAGTTAAAAGCGTGCCCTCTTCTCCTGCTTATATGCATATATGTTGGAGTGATTCTTATATTTTGATGTGCTTACAAGTCACCCGAGGATTTTGTTAAAATGCAGATTCTGATTTGGTAAATCTAGGCTGGGACCTGCACATTTGGCACTCTGGCATGCTGTTAGGTGATGTTGGTACTGCCGGACCCAGGCCCTGCTTGGTGTGGCGAAGTCCTCAGAGCCCCAGTCACACTGGAGCGCAGGTTAAAGCAGTTACCATGGGATGGGCAGCACGTCAGTATTTTCTAGAGCTCTCCAGTCGTTCCCAGTGTGCAGCCAAAATTGAACCCTTCTACTGAACACCTCGTCTTGATCATTTCCCTTTTTATGATTTTGATAACTTTTTCCGTGGGGAAGGCTTTTGCTTTTTCCTTTGACCCTCCTGTTTCAGCATAGCAGTCACAGTGATCATTTACAGAGGAAAGTCAGGGTATCCCTTGTTGAGAAAGTGACCCTCATGCTGAGGTAGGGAGACTTCGAGCCAGTAGGTGTGTGGCAGCAGAGAGGGGGGCACTTGGCTCCAAGTGCTTCTGGGCCAGTGAGGATTGAGTGCCAAGGAATAGAAGGAGGGGAACAGGGAGGGGTCCAGATGGAAAACTGCTCAGAGGAGACAGGAGGGCAGGGCGCTCTTACTGCTAATGCAACAACCGTGGGACAGGAACTCAGATACCGGGTGGTGACACACAGAGGATGAGGGGGTTTTTGTTAAACTTAACCTAGGATTCTTTGCAATAACTGAGTCTGGGTAGGCCAAAGGGCCAAGATTGAGGCCTACTCAAAAAGAGGACTCAGGGACCAGCAGTTGGTGTAATGGCTGGCTATGTTGCTGGACTCCCATGTAGTTGACTGCAGTTCGAGTCCTTCAAGTCCCGGACCTGGTGGCTTAAACTCACGCCAGGCATGTGTGCGTGCGTGCCCAAGATCCCGAGAGGAGAATGGA